AAACAAAACAAACAGCACTAGGATTTACACAAATGGAAAGGGAGCAGGTGTCACATTGTTCCTGGCCTGAGGAACTTCCCTCTTGGCTCATGCCTGGGACCCCAAAGCCCCTGGAGATCAGTGAGAGTAACTCCAGGTACACACACTAGGTAGGACAAAAAGCCAGTGTGATGGCACACCTCTGTAATCACAGCTGCTTGGGAAGGGTAGGCATGAGGATCATGGCTTAAAGCCATGCCCAGGCAAAATTAGCAAGAAACTAATAGGTTGGGGATAGAGCTTAAGTGGTAGAGTGCTTTCCTAGTGTGTGTGAGGCTGCTAGGGTCAGTCCACAGGGCGTAAATGCTTTGGAGGGGGAGAGGGGATGTATGACTAGCAAGGCCTCCCTGAATGAGGCAGGTGAGCATCCTCGTAGAACCGTCAGTTTGTCCTTAGACAACAGCGCTTAGCATTGCCAGGAAGAAGGGGAGACCATATGGAAAAGAAGAACACACTGTTATTATTTTTTACTCCATTCAGCACCAAACATACCAGGAATTGAAGACTCAAGAGAAGCATTGTATTTGTTGTTACCTGTACCCGTAGACATAGTAGGTATAGGTTCTGCATTAGTATGGAACAAGACTCATATGGAAACTTAAAGAGAACCACTGGCTATATTCTGTGATGACCTTGTTTCAAGATTTTACTTTCTAGCACCAGAGGGGTGAGGCTCAACAGAGGAAAGGGGTGAATACGTTCAAAATACTTTTTGTATACGTTTGAAAATGCAACAATAAAGCTTGAGATGGATTTGGGAAAAGCATAAGAGGAATGAGAAAGACTGATGATGACGGGAGTCCAGGCATATCATATACACATATGGACAATGCAAAATGAGACTCCCTTATAAAACTACCTATTTCCGATTTGTTTTTAAGTCATGCCAGACACAGGTAGCACACCGCTATAATCGTAGCTATTCAGGAGACTAAGAGCTGAGGATCGCAGTTCAAAGCCAGCCCAAGAGAGAAAAGTCCATGAGACTCTTATCTCCAATTAACCACCAAAAAAAAAAAAAAAAAAGGAAGTGAAGCTGTGGCTCAAGTGATAGAGTCTTGAGCAGAAAAAAACTCAGGGACAGTGCCCAGGCCCTGAGTTCAAGCCCCAGGACTGGCACAAAATGCAAAACAATCGAATCTACTCACAGGAAGTTAGCACTTTCACGGTTTAGCCTGTTCATCTGAGGTAGAGAAGTAGTCAGGGTGACAATTAGCAAGCAGCCTGGATCAAGAAGAACCCAAAGCAAACTGCTACCTAGTGTATAAAGTCAGCAGCAATCACACACTGGCCAGACTGCTGCATGCAAAAAAATAAAAATAAAGTAAAATAAAACAGCAAACACAAGTTGTACAAGGAGGGGTTCATTGTGACTTTTCCACACATGAAAGCAATGCATCCCATACACCTCGCCCCCTCCATTTCTCTCCCTGTTCCATTTCCCCTACTTAAAACAATTCAGCAGTTTCATTGCCCTATTTTCATGTATACAGATACATTAGATCAGATACATTCACCCTTATTCTCCATTAACCCTTCCCCCTCCAGCTGGCACCTACCATTCTCCAAAAAGAACCTGTTTTACCTTTTTTTTGTCTTTTTTTTTAGTATGAGCTAATTACACCCAAGATTTTACTTGTTAAAACAGAATAGGCATCACTTAAAAAAAAGGAAATATACTAATGTTTTTTTTTAATCCTGAGCTTTTGTTGCGCTGTGGAACTGTGAACTCAAAAGCCACAGTGCAAACTCCATGTCAGCTTTTATAATATGAAGGCAGTACCCAGACAGGAAATCCTTGGTATTTCCATGCAATTTTTTTAAAAATTAATTTTCTTTGAAAATACTTGGGTTTTTCCACATGTCTGTACGGATTTTTGAATTAAGAAACTATAGGTCTTGCTGGTAAAGCAAGTATATTTTTATATGAAAAATGAACTCCTCAAACCACAAGCCCCAAATCCCTGAACTACGCGATGCTGTCTAGTAATGACCTGGGGCTGTCTGGGAGCGTGGATTCTCTGGAGAGACCTCCACCCAGGGCATTCACACTAAGCCGGTCCTGCAGAAATGTTTGCCAGTTCACCTTCTCTAATTGTAGCAGTTGGCAAAATCTTAGAAGCTGTTTTAAATGTGTTTTATTCTTTCACAGAGAGAAAGCTAGAGAACTGTGGTAGGGGATGAGGTGATGGTTGAGGATAGGTATTTTGATCAGGTATGTTGGAGTAAGGTGTTCCCTGACGGCTAGCTCACTAAAGAAAATCTCCCCCTCCTTCCTGCCCCCAATGCGTTCTCAACCCCCAGGAGTAGCAACACAGAAATGCTCTGATCCAACAGGAAGAACTGTTTGAACAACCAGCTGAAACAAGAACAGGAATGACACAACCTTACATGTTGCACTGAAAACTCTTAGTTTTTTTTTTTTTAATTTAAAAGTTAAAAGAAAAAAAAAAAAAAGAACAGGAAGGAGAATCAGGCACTGAGGCTCACACCTATAACCCTAGCTAATTCGGGAGGCTGAGATCTGAGAATCATTGTTTGATGCTGGCAAGGCCAGCATCTGACTCTTCGCTCTAATTAACCAGCAAAAAGCAGGAAGTGGAGGTATGGCTCAAGTGGCAGAGGGTCAGCCTTGATGCAAGAAAAGCTAATTTCAAGCCCCAACACTGGCAGAAAGAGAGCGTATGACAGACACAAAGAGAAGGCATAAGGGAAGAGGGAGAGAGAGGAAACAGGACGCAGCAGTAGAAAGAGGGTCCATAAGGATGGGAGAAACTTGCTTCAAGCCTACACTTGCCCAGGTCAACCCACATCGAAACATCACACAACCTGCGTGGCAGCATAGAAAGTGGTTCTTAAGTTTGCCCGGGTTTAACTTTACTTGAAGCCCCGGCTGCATTTGCAGCCAGTTACATCAGTATCTCTGGGTCAGAATCCCTAGGGATGGACCTGTCAGAGCTAGTTTCTAATGTTTCCTCTCCCCAGGTGATTCCTTTGAGAAATCCAAGGATGAAAAGAAAAGGCTTCTTGGACTTGAAGGTACCTAATCTTATCTACAAGCAGATTGCAACTAAATAGGTCTGGGTGGGGCTGAGATTTGGACTGTAGGCCTCGCTAGCTCTGTGCAAGTGTCCAGTGCTTCTGGGGACTGGGAATCTGGCAATGCCAATACCCAGACAGAGTATTTTCACAGGCTGTGGGACCTTGTTGTTTTGCCCCTCCCCCCCCCCCCCCCAATAATCCAGGTCATCTTCCTGGTTCACAGCCCACCTCAGAAAGAGACTGTCTTGGAGAGTACGCTTAAGCATCCAAAGAGATGCTGGGTCTTTGCCACTGATCCTAAGAAAAAAGGAACGGGGTTATAATGCATCTGCTGAAAACCCAACACGGCCTGAAGTGCCCGCTGGTACCTGAGTGTCAGCAACGGGCAAGGCGGGGACAACTGAGCCACAAGCTGTCAGTTTCTAGTAAGTCCTTCAAGAGGTCACAGGCCTGACAGAAAGCCCTGGAAGTAAAACAACTTTCTGAACAGATGCCCGTGGTTCATCTCAGGTCCACTTGGCACACATATTTAAATGATTGTTACTTTCCTTCTCTATATAAAGGCTTAAGTTCTCTCTATACAGATAAACTATAAATGATCCTTTACCTGCAGTCACCAACTGGACTGAGATCTAGTTGTCTCTTGGGAGTCTGAATGATTGTTGGTAAAATAAAATAAAAATCAATGAAGATTGGACGTGGTTTTGGATTCCGTCACACCAAGACTTCAAAAGCAGGAGATGCAGTTCACTTTGACTGAGTGCTCTGCACAAATTCAAAGGGAGACTCTTTTCTGGTGGGCTCTTTGTGATCCACATCCCACTGTTTGTACTTAGCAGATCTGACTGGCTTTATCCAAGGCGATCTACACAATCAGATGAGCAACACTTTGATGCTTTCCCAGTACTCGCCTTACGATGGCAGAAAAAAAAATCAACACTACCAGAATAAAAAAGCACAAGACTTCAGTGGAAAAGTTCACCGAAGTGCGGAGGGAGGCCTAGCAAGGTGCCCTTTTGGAACGAGAAGCGTGGCTGAGTGGGACTTCAAGGGAGGCCTGACCCCAGAGCCGTGCGTCGGAATAGGCAGTGGGCGCCCACGGAGGCCACGCGCAAGCGCGCCAGGGCCAGAGCCGCCCCCTGCTCTCATTTCTAGTTTCCCTGCGTCCTCCATACACGGCTTTATTCAAAAGCGTTCTTAGAACCCGCGTAACCTCTGCCTTGGTTCCCTTCCACCCTTCCCAGATTCAGTAATTTGCCCAACATTACAGGCCTCGGTGGGGTCCCTGATTCTGCCTGGCTGGCTTCTCAAAGCCATCTCCCAGGACCCATCGCAGAGGGTCGGCGCAATGGCAACCGCGCTGGCTCCCTTCTTTTTCCAAATCACAATCAAGATGAGATAGACAGACGGCACGGCCAAGCTCACACCACATCACCACCTGCCCAGGTCTTGACAGGAAGGAAAACTCATATCCTTGGTCCTCTTACTCGCATCCTTCCCCCATCCCCTGCACCCCCTTCCCTCCCCCCAAAAAACCCTCTCCATTTCAAAGCACCAACAGCTGCCAGAGATCACAAACGTGCCCAGCCCCCGATGTGAGGGGACCCGCACCCTCCCGAGGTAACCACATCGCCCCGAAGACCGACAAGGTTCCCAGAATCAAAGCTGCCGGCGCTGTCTGGAGGCGCCTCACCCCGCACCCCGCACCCCGCACCCCGCCCTGGCCAAACGAGCGCGCGCCCGCATCCTCCCTCGCCACCCCCGTCCAGGGTCCCCCGGCGTCCGCAGCGGAGCTGGGGTGGGGTAGGGGTGGGGGGGTCGATCGGCCCGCTCCCCGACCCCCGGGGCAGAGCCCGCAGGCGCCCCGGGGCCGGCCGCGCCCCCCTCGCCGCCGCCCTCCGCGTCCCCGCCGCGCTTACCTGAGCCCGAGGTGCGGACCCGGAGCGGGCGGCCCCGGCTGGAGGACGACAGGTCGCTCTGGGAGCGGCCGCGGGGACTCGGGTCCCCGGGCAGCCAGCGAAGGGCGGAGGGCGCCGGCGGCGGGGCGGACGCCGGGGCTTCGGGGATCCGGGCCGCCGCCGCCGCCGCCTCCCACCCGGCGGGCTCGTCCCGGGGCCCCGCGGGGCTCCTGTCCGTCTCGGCCATGGGTCCCCGGAGCGCCGGGTGCGGCCGGTGCGGGCGCCGAGCTCGGGGCTGCCCGGTGCGGCTCCGCGCGCGCGCGCGCCGCGGCTCCCGGGCAGCGAGGAGGGCGCGGAGGCTGCGCGCCCGGCGCCCACGAGCGGGCGGGAGGAGGAGGAGGAGGAGGAAGAGAAGAGAAAAAGTTTGCACAGGAAGGAGCCGCCTACGGCCCGGGCCGCTCCCGCCAAGCCGCGGGCTCGGTCCCCGGGCACCGGCGCGCTGCCCCGCCCCCTTCCCTCCCCCGGTCCCCGGGGCGCGGCCCCTCGGCGGGACCGCAGCGCTCGGCCCCTCTGGCCGAGATGGAGGGCGGGTGGGGGGGGGGGGGTCAGACACGCACCGCAGCCGCCCGGCGGTGGGACAGGACACGGGGCGCCGCGCCCACGGGCCAGGTACCCCAGCTGGCGTCAGGTGGCGGGACTTGCCTGGGGGAGGGGTGGGTGGGGCAGATCGAAGGTGGCGTGGGCAGTGAAGCTAAACGGCCTTCCTCCTCCCTCCCCCCCATACCCCTGGCCACCTCCCATCGCATTCCCGGGGTCCTGCGGGAGGAGCCGGTCGGACTCGAGGGTCGTGCTTGAACGCTCGGGCTTAAACCGGCTCGTGCGCTCCCACCCCGGCCCTCGGGACCGGAGGATGGCGAGCCTGGGCCGCGCAGCCCGACCCCCGCTCACAGGAGGAGGGCGGGAACCCGCGCCGAGCTGGCCGCCCCAGCCCGGGCTTTCGGTCCGAAAGACGCCGCTCTGCGTGGGGCTTTGGACCTCAGGCACTGGCGAGTCCACACCCCAAGCTCCCTTCTAATCGGGTCCCCGCCGGTCGGGGCCTGCCTGGAGCTGCCAGGCTGCACCGCTCGGGCTCCGGCGGAGCGAAGCACGGCTTTCCTGGAAGTTCCTGGCCTTGGAGGGGTGTCCCTGGGCTCCCCCTGCAGGGGCCATCGAGAGTGACAGGAAGAGGAGACGACGGAGGGGAAGGGAGGACAGGGCTGGCCCTGACCGCTGACTAACCACACACGGGCCTGCGTTCATCACACACACGCGTGCACACACACACACACACGCACGCACTCACGCCTGCCTTCGTGTTCCGGGAGCTTCAGCAGACCCTTTGCGCAGAATATATCATGTAAGAAGAAGACAGATCCTCACAAGGAAGTAAGGAAGCGCCCCAAACCAGGAGCAGAGGCTGGAGATGCTACTCGTGGGTCCCCACAGCTGCCTAGAATTACAGTCACAATAATACAGCTCACCCTTGGTAACTGAGAAAGGCTTTCCCCGTTATTCTCCCAGCAAAACCGGGGAGGATAGGATTATTTCCATTTGGGGGTACACGCTGCCCAAAATACAGTTCCATTTCTTGATAGCCAAGGTTGCAAAACATACTTCCTGCCAAAAGACCTAGTAGTGGACTCAAGTGTGACTTTTTTGCGTGTGTGTGATATTGGCAATTGAGCTCAGAACCTTGAGCTTGATGCTCTACCACACGAGTTACATCTCCAATACCCTTTTTATGACAGTAAGTTTTCAGTGTGTAGTTTCAACTCCATGGCCTGAACTCTGATTCTCCTAACTTGTGCTTCTCTGCATTGCTGGAGATGACAGGTGCTCACAATGGACACAGCCACTGTGCTTCTACCACTGGGGTAATATTGGGTCTTCCTCCGTCAGGCTGAAGACGGACGGGGTCCAAAGGTAAGTGCGCCCCTCACCGGCTCCCCAGCCTCCTCTGGCCCCAGAGACAGTCAGATGCAGCTGGCAGTCAAGTCAAGCAGGAACTCGTTTATCACCACACAGCAAGCACTTTTTAAAGCAAAAAACCGCGTGGCATGAAAGGGAAGGAAAAGGAACCAACCAATCACTGTAGAGGTCACCCTATCGTGCGCCTAAGCTTTCTATACTTTCCCTGATGTCCGCGAGCTGTTTACACACTGAGCTTGTGGTACCCAGTTATATTTAAACATAAACAACTCGGGCTCTGCCCACTCGACCCTCTCAGCGCCATCTTTGCTGCCCATGTGCCCTACAGGGCACTCAACATTGTTGTCAGCCATTGGTTGAGGTATAGACTCACAAGCTGGGCATTGGAGGCTCATGCCTATAATCCTAGCTATTCAGGAGGCTGAGATCTGAGGATCCCAGTTCAAAGCCAACTTGGGCAGGAAGTTCTGTGAGACTCTTTATCTCCAGTTAACCACCAGAAAACCAGAAGTTAGAGCTGTGGATAAAAGTGGTAGAGTGCTAGCCTTGAGCTCAGGGACAGTGCCCAGGCCTTGAGTTCAAGCACTCTGACCACCCTGGCATGGGCTGATCTCGAACTGTGATCACCCACATTCAAAGTAGCCAAGATTACAGGCTTGAGTCACTAAACCGGTCTAACTACTTTCTTGATATCTTGTGTGGTTAATGATGGAAAAAGTAGTCTCTGCTTCCAGAAAATTGACTACACATTATTTCAGTCAATAATAATAATGGGAGGACACTTAGATGTTGTTGTTTTTCACATGCCTTGAATACTCACCATTAGATTACATCTAGTTACAATTAGATTACAACATGTGAGCACAACCCAGAGTAATAAATGGCTCTAGTACAATAATACCTCTCCTCTTGGTGTGATATCTAGTATATTGTATTCATACAGCTGATGCTACTTTCCTCTGTCTAGTTCCTCAGTAAGCAGCTCCCTTCTTAACTTGTAAACTGCTCTCTATTTGGGGGCATATATCCCAGTATCCCACCCCTAGGTCTCACCCCATCCACCCTCCTTTTGCCTGCTACATGCACGTTCATTTGTTCTTCCTTCCAAGCTGCATGCTTCTCCCTTCTCTCAGTCCTGTGCATCCTCTTTTGACATAATCAATGAGTTATGAAATGCTTACAAACACAAGTCTTCTCCAACTCATTATTCTGTTATTCCACAATTCACGGCCTCGTTTCTTGTTTAAGTAGTACATATTTGAATGTCTTTTATGGACCAGGGACTCAATCCCCTTCGTAGCCAATTTGCTAGAGAGAATAGCATCCAACTGCCATTTCCATGTTTTGGTCTCCCTTTTGCATTCGTTTCTTTGCTGCTTGCAGGGTGATGTCTGTCTACGTGGAGATTCTTGGCAGTGGTCACTATGGTGCGCCTTGATGCCATATTTACTGGGAACTTTCCAGTTCTTCCTTGATCTGACTTCTTGGCGACCTTAACTCTCTTCACCTCCTGCACTACCACGGGGTAGTGAGGATTCTACTTTCTTCTTACTCTCAGTCTTTTTCTTCTATAGCCTTGCCCAGAGTCCCAGATTCAACTTCCTTCTCTTTCCACTTGATGTATTTTATCTGGGAAATCTCCCTATTGGCTTTGAGGTATGCTCAGATAACCCTCAAATCCTCACTTCCATCTCAGACCTTTCCCTGAGCTCCAGATCTTAACGTCCCCTTGTCTACTGGGCCATCTTCCGGATGTCTCCTCCTCCTGTCCTTCTTTCGTGTCCATGCATGCTAGGCAAGTGCTTGGAGCTACAACCCCAGCCCCGTAACACATGGAATCAGTATACATTCCTTAGCATGCACAGCCGGGTCTCTCTACTGAGCCCACACATAGCTCTTGTTGCCATTCTCCAGCTCGGGCTCTCTAGCCATGCAGACCCATTCACTGAACGTAGCTTGCTGCTCTTCTCATGGCACCCATCCCCATTCCCACTGCCTACGCATAATTTACCCTCCAGCCAAGTACATATAGCCTTCCTCCCAGCCAGGCAAGTGAGTCTCCTAAATAGCACCATCAAACCCATGAGTATTGTCAAGTCACTTTCAACACAGAATTGCAGTTGCTAAGGAAATAATCGATCGGTCCTACTGGCTGAGAGCTGCCTCAGGGCAGGAAGTACAGATCATTGCCTTTGCTCCCTGCTCACCACCACCACCGCGTGTTGAACGAACCAGTCCATGAGGCCTATTTAGGGACACTGACATCAACAAATGATAACCTGGAAAATCATGGCAACTGACCACATGAGTTTATAAATGGAAGGAGCTGTGGACACCCAGAGGAGCAGGTAGCTAACTTGCCTGGGCAGAGACCCTGGAAGTCCTCCCAGGGGAGGTGCCACCGGAGACTCAAAGGCACCCCAGTGTGAAGGAGGGGGTCCGCAGTGACATAGAGACTTAAGGCACAGTTATATAGTGACAACAAATGCCAGATTTAACACCATTATATAATGAAAGCCAGTCTGCGCTTAAAGTCCTGTTACTAACAAAGAAAAAGAAAAGCAAGAAATCAAATCATAATCTTGAGGAACTCTAAGAGCTCTGTCTTTTGATCTGGGATTTGATGGTTCTGTGGTTCTATGAACTTTTTTCTTTAGTTTTATTTTAAAATTGTAAACAAAACTGGGCATGGTAGAATATGTCTGGAATCCCAGCATTCAGGAGGCTGAGGTAAAAGGATCTAGACTTAAGGCCAGCCTGGGCTACTGAGTGAAAACTTATCAAAGAAGAAGAGGAGGAAGAAGAAGAAGAAGAAGAAGAAGAAGAAGAAGAAGAAGAAGAAGAAGAAGAAGAAGAAGAAGAAGAAGAGAAGAAGAAGGAGGAGGAGGAGGAGGAAGAGGAGGGAGGAGGGAGGGGAGGAGGAGGAGAAGGAGGAGGAGGAAAAAGAAGAAGAACCACCACCACCACCTAGGTGCCAGTGGCTCAACGCTTGTAATTCTAGCTACTAATGAGACTGAGATCTGAGGATCACAGTTCAAAACCAGCCCAGGCAGGAAAGTTCATGAGACTCTTATCTCCAATAAACCACCAGGAAACTGGAAATGGCGCTGTGGCTCAAGTGGTAGGGCACTAGCCTTGAGCTGAAGAGCTGACAGATAGCACCCAGGCCCAGAGTTCAAGCCCCATGACCTACCAAAAAATAAAAATAAATAAATAAACAAATTAGAGCTGAGTGCCAATGGCTCATACTTATATTCCTAAGAACTCAGGAGGCTGAGC